ATCTGTGTTTAAGGTGAACAATAGGCAGATTACGAGATGCCACCTCTGTGGTATATTGCTTGTCACACTGTTCTGTATCAGCTAGAGATCTGATCAGGGGTGACACGGTGTTTTCCTCCAAGCCAAACTTCTAAAGTAAATCAACAGGTAATTTTGTGCATATATGCAAAAGAAGCAGAGGGGACAATGTAATCAGTGCTCTCCTTACCCCCAGAGGAGCTTTACAGTGAAGTTTTGGATGAGAAAAAAAAAAAATACTCACTGATCTATTAACACCCAGCTAGTCAGTTTCCTCCTTCTACCACAATCTGTATGACTAAATACTTAAGACCTCATACTTTGCCTCAGTAAAGACACTATAATGCATGAGAACTATTAAGGAACAAGCTTCTGCAGCTCTAACCATTCTGTACAGCAATTAACAAGTCAAAAACATTTGACTTGGGCTAAAGCCCTACTATTAAATAGTACTAAGGTACTGTACGGAGAAGTTGACACAGATAAACCTGCTTGCTCTTCCTGTATACTTGCATAGAAAATAAAACTATGATGATTACTGGTAATTACTCTCCAACTGAAGAGCACATTAGCCATTCCATTAATCTCATAATTGACTGGAAAAAAATGAAGTCAAACATTTGATATCCGGAAGATCTGGAGAAGCTGATCATCTTCTAGTTCCATTTCAGATAAAATGGACAATTATTACCTTTGAGACAATACTGAGGAGGAACTAACAGTGCTTATGAGAACCAGAATGCATTAAAACCCCTACTTAATGGAAACAGGAAGCCAGAAACAAAGAGCTTGGACATGAAGCAGGTAGAGAAAGGAGAACAGTACAAATTCATTGTTCCAAGTTTTCCTGTGACCTTGCTTTTTACTTTGTTCATGCTACTTTGCAAACTAACATGCTAAAGAAATCTACAGGTGCTGTAACTGTGAGGGACACATGAGTGAGTGTTCCAAGCCTATCTGTGGAGCAGTTAGTACCAGAATGCCAAAGGGGATCAAAGGACATCTGTGTCAGGTGACCTCTCACCAAACCAACCAACCCCAGAGTGCCCCTGCCCCCAGCTGTTTGGGGCTGCAATATATACCTCTGTACGAAAAACCTTAAATTTATTTCATGAAGAGAATACAGAACACTCAATATTATTTCTTCAGAAGTCTGTCTTTACGGTGAATTCAGAAGTCTATAAGACAGCTAAAAACACTGACCACAGCTCCTTTCAATAACACGGAGAAAAACCGAATACTCAATACCATCAACTAAATATTGTCTTGACTGTAAAACAAATGCAATAAAAGAAAATGTGGAGTTTTCCCTCCAGAAGTTTGTATATATTTAGTGCTTCAGGTCAGAAAGAAGTACAGTTCAAAGTTCAACTCCGAAACAATTATAGCAGCCTGAGCTGTTGCTGTCATGTTAGTCCTTTTCTTCCCATTGCAACAGTCTCTTATCATCCCAGTACATCAGCACATTTATTTACTAGCTCCTTCTCTTGCTAGTCTATCAGCTTCTTCATTTCCTCGGAAGCCAGCATGACCGGGAATGTGCATCTATCAGGACAAAAGTAGAGGAGTGTTAGATACATGAGAAACCAAGAGAAAAGTACATACATGAAATCTGATCACACAATGCCCTATCACTCATAATGCAGCAGCACCTCCTCAGAGGCCCTCTCCTCATATTTAGCCCTGACGTGCTCTTCTCAGGGATTTTCATAGTCTCCCTTCCTCTAGGAAACTTGCCAAATTGTGAAAATTATCTTTATGGGAAGTAATGAATTGGATAAGGATCACCTAACCTAGCCTTTCAGAAATGCAGACGACAACTCCAACTCAAAATTCCCACTTTCAGAGAACAGAGAAAAACCTACCAGCACTCAGTGTTTAAACTGAATTAATCTTTCCCCCAAAAAACAAAGACCTCTTATTCCACTAACAGCCTTGGCAGTTACAGCACTCACTCAGGATGCACAAATAGGGTATTAAAAGAATCTATCAAATTTCAGATGTCCTAGTTGTCTATCCCTCAATAAGGAACTGAAAAAACTATCAACCCTAAGCCCATCCTTGTCAGAAGGAAGGGTGGAGGAGGAAGATGAGGAAGAAAATCAAGCTTGCTATTTGACAAGATCTGAGAGAGCACAAGCATGAAGTGTGTGCGATATGTACAGAAGTTGGTTTACTTCTTTACTGGAAAACAAAACAATTGAAAACTTTAAAAGAAGTATTTTTAAGATCTTTCTGCACCAATTTCTCTTAGAAGAAACACAGTTAAGGTACAGAAAATTAGTTTATTTGAGGTTAGACACTCTCCTTTTTCCCATTTTAAGGACACTCGTGACTGAGTTACTTCAACGAACCAGCACCCTAAAGAGTTCTCAAAAGCAAATCTAGAAATTCAGCTACAACACAAAAGGACCCAGTTATGTTTTAAGGTTAGACTTCCAGGAACAGGAATTTCATCTACTAACAGCATTAACAAACTAAAAATGTAGGCATTTTCTAAGCAGTAGTAAGAAGAAACAGAAAACAAATATTAACATTCATTTTAGTGAATGAAATACTGGTTCCAAGAGTCTAGTTTATACTGCTAATTTGCTTTAAATACTATAAGCATCTTCTTAGTTATGGTCATACTTGCAGATTTTTACAAGAAGCTTGTTTAAAATGTCATTAAGAAATGATGAACTTACCCACTGAATTTCTATGTCTTTTGATAAACTATCAAGTCTCTCAAAATCTTCTTTATTTATTACACTTCCACCTGAACTCGTTCTCCAGCCATTTGTCTTCCAATTGTCAACCCAGCTTGTAATACCTATGTAAAGAGAGCATCACCAGAAAAATGCTATTAAAGAAGCCAGAAAGGATCAAGATAGAGCCAACAGCTAACTCTGTACAATGTCTCTGGCAAAGACAATGGAGACAGAAGACATTCTTGTTTGGTTCTCTACTGCTCTCTTTCATGACTGTATTTTTCCATTATTATTTCAATTATCCAACCATGTTTTCCCAAACAGATACTTAACTTAAAGACCACAATCTTATATAGGCATTACACACAAAACTATGTCATGAACTTCAGTAAACTGAAGTTAAGGAATTGCTTGACATTACAGTAAGCAAGAACAAGTCTTCTGCTTTATTTGTTTTGAGAAACTGGAGACACATACATAGGGGGAAACCAGATGGCCACCTGTCCTATGGCTTCTGTACACTGAACAGAATCCTTCAGAGAAGGACCATGTAAGCAGATTTCTACAGAACTTGATTTAACATTCTGTCCATCCCTTGCTGGCCAGAAAACTTACTGTATTACTCCTTAAGTAATGTTCTATATTTTTTTATATCTTTGCTGGTGTGGATAATGTAAGACATCCTTACTGCTTTCATGACAAGCAGACCTGAACCAAATAGGAAATCACCAATCTTGCACACAAACCCTCCTGAAAACCAAATCACATCCATGCCTACTTAACCACAAGCCTCAATCTCTGGAGAACTAGACACATTCACAAAATAACTGCGGTTAAACAAGAACAGACCCTACACCTCAGTGACCCAAAATGCAAAAGCAAACTGCAAGGAAAAACAACGAGATTAAGACAGACACAAGGAGTAAAAGTGCAACATTTAATTTTCAGTCAAAAGCTGCAGGAAGTTTTTGTTTAATGTTATTTCAAAAAAAACACAAAAATCAAATGTCCCAAGTGACCTGGAAAGCACAAACATGTAGTCTCTTTGTAAAATGGTGAAATACAAAGGAAAAAACACTTATGCAGTTCCAGATTATCAGAGAAGTAAAACCTAAATATCTCAAAGAAAGAGGAGTAAGTTTTATTCAGAAGTTAAGTCTTATTAGCTGCTTTGTATGGTATTTACAGGGAAAAAAAATAAATTTTCCAAATCTCTGGATGAAGGTCAAACTTTTAATTACATACTCTGAGCACATAGCACCTCTGGCTAGTCTTCCAGAGTAGCCTAAAAGCTTGGAAGTGTAGTCTACATGTAAAAAGCAAGAAAACTTGAATGTATTTCACACATGTGAGTTATGGCAGCTTCGCCAATTCAAGCAAAACAACAAAAAATCTACAGGGTTACTACACCAACTTCCAAGTAATTTCCTGAGTACAGCCTTAATAGCACATACACGAATGTCAATTTTCCTAGACTTTGTGTGACACTGAAAACCTCAAGAGAAAAATCCTGTCGTTACTTCCGTCAGCCTTTACTGCAACAGGCACTTTGTCTCTACTTGTATTTCATGCAGTTAGCAGGTGATCCCTAAGTATTCTGAAGATCTTCCCCAAGCAGTCATGAGTAGTAAGTTATGGATTCTCTTCCTTACATCCCCCTCTCCGGGACTCAGTATGTTCTGTGGGCCTTATGTAATGAAATAGTATGCAGTGTGTCTTCAAGCATCAGGAAAACTCAAATCATTAACTTACCATTAATAGTGAACTTGCTGTCAGTGTAGATTATTAGTTTCTTGATGTTCTGACTCTTGGCTTGCTCTATAGCTTTGCAGGCTGCCTTAAGAACATTTAATACAATCATAGTTCACAACAGGATTTTGACCACATGCAATTAAAATACCAACAAAGTACCGGACGCTAACACACAACTATGAAGACTATTGCTGTAATATCTCCACCAATGGCTACCAACATCCTTTAGAATAAAGATTCACAAAGTTTTGCATGCAGACAACACCCTTTTGGATTCAGGCGAAGAGGTAGCCACCTAAATTTCACTAGAAAAATAAACCCAAAATATTCTGATGTTCAACTCTGTGCCAGAAGAGTAACTCTCTGCTCCATTTCCTAACTACCAAAACCTCTATCAACCGCACTCCAAGTTCTAGGCATTTTCTCATTATCTTTGAGGAGGGAGGATTCATATCCATTCCACCAGTCTGGAACAGTTAACACGTTGGGGCTTTTTTTGGTGCTCTGAAATATAACTGGGAGAAGTGGCTGTGTGTAGATGTAAAGCTGAAAAGCTCTGTGACAAGTTTAACCGCTGGCACACAAACATCACCTCTTCTTGTCCCTCACTAAAATTAGCTTCTTGTAGTTTTTAAGCAGAATTCCCCATTTCAGTTCATCTCCAAACACGCAGTCAGGGATAGCAGCAGTACCATAATTAACAGGAGGTGAGAAGGGAAGACCAAATCTGCTGTTGCCAACCAAAGTTAGTCAGGAGCCTAGAACTGTTTGTTATATTTACCTAAGGATTATGATATTCTGATCCTATAACCCTAAGAAGCTGATTCTCCTCTTAACACTACCAGCAGCCCTCACTCCAAGGTCTGAAACATACACATTAAAAATGCAAGGGATCTATACAGATTTGAGAGCCAGGCTTTCCTAATGTAAGGCTGCTTTAAGTAGCTGTACTCGATGATATTTGGGAATTCTCAAGGTGAATTACCTTATTCCAAACCCAAAAACTTGAAAAGAACTATTTGTTTCAAGTCATAACTCCAGATATTTTGTATACTTCCCTTACAGCTCTATAACTGGTTTCTGAAAGCCAGAGTTGAAATAGGCATGAGTGTGCTGCTGCAGTCCAGCATGAAGAAGCATTTCAGGACATTTACTACTTACATGTATTTCTGCTCTTTGATTAGTTTGACGTCCAGGAAGCCTTTCACTGGTATTTCTGTGTCCAAAGAACAAACAGTAGATTAGTTACCCCAAATATTCAGAATGGCGTATGATGACTACACATTAAAAAAATAAATACAAGAATTATTTTTGTATTTATAAAGGAGAATGAACAGATATTCTAGCTCTAGCTTCCACCTGCATAGCACAAGCTGTATATCAATATGCAATTACATTTGACATCTTCTACGCAGACCTACTTGTATTTTAAAAAACTTCCTGAATTACTTATAGCTTCAGCCCTCAAAAATATTTCCAGTTGATTTTTCCCAGAGTTGATTTCTCTTTTCCTCTCAGTAACTCACTAGTCTCATAACACTGTCATGAGTTTCAACAGCAAAGTTTCATATTTACAAGAAGCCATCCAGCTACTTACAAAGGGTGGCCTGGTCCCCAGTAGACACCTATTCCAGCTCGTGCCCTATTACGTCCATTACCTGAGCAACAACCATCTGTATAAACAACTGCAAAGTCACCTAGAAAACAATTACCAAAATCTGAAGTTCAAGCACTGCTTCATGGATACAGACTCTTTAAGCTGAAAGAAATGTCTGTCAGCAAATCAGTCCCCAAAACTTCTCTCCCCAGAGAGTCCTTCCAAAAGTTAATTACAGAAGCACCAGAAGTCCCATTGCAGCTTCACTCCCTCACTGCTGTGAAACCAGTCAGCCCCAAGAAGGACTTCTGCCCCAAGTCCCAGACTTTTCACTACAGCTTGTCTTCTTCAGTTGACTTCAAAACTTCCCATTATATCCATACATTTAAATATAGCCTGTAACCTACATACACATATGATTAAGCTGTATGTTGATACCAGTTAAAGCCAATTAAAATTACACTGAAAGACAACACGAACAAATAGATCATGGCTCACATTTCTATTTTAAAAAGAAACAATGGGCCTGATGCTGCCACATACAAAACTTCCTAAAAGCTTTCTAACATTTACACTTGTTGCTTATGAACTAGTACAAAGAAATAAAAAGAATTAAAGGAATAATCAAAGACCTCACCCATATATGAAAATTTATCTTCACTGACTGTTGGCATTGAGTACATTGAATATTGTTCATCATGTCTGACACGCTTTGCAATCTGTTCTTCACTTGTAGACTGCTCATATGGCCTTTTGCAAGTATTGCAACACAAGGTGTTTAATTCTGGATCCTCTCTCTGGATACTATTTTCCTGTGGTAAAGCTGAAGCACCAAGTGCCCCTACCAAAAAAAAAAAGAAATTTCAACACATACAAGACGAAATTTTGTTTGAAATAACTGCTTCTAAAGACAACTTATTATAGTCTCTTGGCGATGTCTGTCTGTTAACTGACCCCATCCCAAGCCATTACACAAAAAAAGGTTAAAATATTGCAGAGCACAGTCATTCTTCATCCTAGATCAGACTGAAGAGGAGACAGACATGCAACAGCCCTTAAGACAGACACAGCATAAGCAACGTTCCATAAGCACCTACAAATACTTGCACTGCATTAGCACATCCATCACCGTG